TCATAAAATTACAATCTTTGGCGGAAGAAGTTGTACAGCGTTTTTGTATGTTTTATTATAGTTAAATGGAAGTATTTGGAGTTTTCAAATTAATATTCGTCATTGGTCACAAAGAAAGTACTGCTTGTTTTTATATAATAGATGAAATATAGCCAGTTGTGGTGGCCAGCTCTCATGTTTCGTCATGTCTTAGATTCTTCTGCTGGATTCCGCAATTATCGGCCGTGTACAGACCAAATCGCGACGTGATGGATCATTGCTGAACAATCAACTGAATAGAATTCGTAACCATGTATCAACTTTGTTTATTATGAGTGTTTAACAGAGTGGATAGGAGGACCTTCTTCAACATTATGGTGTACCAGAGATCGTCAACATCGTACGGAATTCATATAACGGACTACACTGCAAAGAGGAGGACCAAGGCACAATTTGCGTCGGGAATGAGAAGCAGACATCAAAAGAATGAATAGCAACTGGAAAGGATTTCCTAGGACAGAGTTCTTTGAATAATTTTGATGAGCATCCCATGCTCCTCCACGAGGGATAACAAGCATAAGTAAGCTGGATATACGTACTCAGAATTGATGTGCACCAATTTTAAATGGGACAAAATAAGTGTCCTGAATTACACTGATAGCAGCTTTCCATCTATTATACACAAACTTGTGATATAATGTCTATTTTGAGACAATCTACATATAATGCACATATGGCAACTGAGATCGATCAAAGTTTAGTCAGAAATATCAGCAACGGATGAATCCCAAAACCACTACAAATTGAATTAAAGTACTAACTCATTTTCAGTGGTTATTTAACTAAGGTCAGTCATTTATGTTAACTATAAAATCCAATCTTCGTAAACCTATTACAGTAATTAAAAATCATGTGTTCACTAGTGGTTAATTTCTTGAAGTGATTTCGGAGTTCTAATTAGACTGATCAGTTGATTCCTACCATACCAAATATGATACAGCTACCTAATAAGACCATTGAAACATAAGTAGCGCAATACCGTGTAGTGATTGCAGTTATCATGCAAATCCTTGGTTTCCGGATAAGTCATCCAAAGGACAAAAGTCTGCACGCACAAACGAAGATCCTGAGTTCAGTCCTCAGTGGCAGAGTTGTGGTGCGCACTTCTGAGGAGTTTCATATCAAGACAAGACAGTTGCCGAAAGCTTATTGATTCTAATGGCTGTTTCATCGAGATTAGTTCATAACGTTAACTACGAATATAAAGAATCATCTCACATATGCATCCGGTGAAATAACAATACAGGGAAGAGCCAAACATGATGGAGATAAAGCCTGTCGCGTTTTTGTGCGAACTTCAGAAAGTCATCAGTACTGGAGCTCAAGTTATGAAGTACTTGGTTAAGCAAAAGCCTGCAAAGAACTACACGTAAAGTCCGTCTTATATGATGAAGATACTGTCCTTAAAATAAGTTAGTTAAAATTAGTTCTTATTCTATCTAGTCAAATTAAGCTAACAACTGAACCACACGTCATTACGAGTGCATTCAGTAATAGCCCGTTTTTTGTTACACAGCTCTGCCATCGTAATTTCATAGATATTACGATAATTGTAAGAAACCTTCTATTGCTTCCCCCCAAATGCCCTGGTACAGACGAGAATAAAGAGCATGAGCTCTCCTTCTCCAAATGCTCACATATGACCACGTGCATACAACCACTGACACAGAAGTCCTAATCAATGTCTTCTCGCGAATGGGGTGTTTTTTTACTAAATTGAGAGGACGAAAAGCGAATGTCTGGCACTATAACTGGGTTAGTGGACACGGCAAGTTCACCTAGGAAAGTTGGAAAACCCTCATTCCAAACCAATGGTGCACATGGGCTGGCCCCAGTATCCTGAGAGAACAAATGGCGTATGAACCAATTGTTGGTCACCGGCTACCATGAGACTGCAACTCCTAACGTTGCTCCACTGTTTTATGGATCAGACCTTTATGTCAAACGCTATGTGTGTGGTCCCCTAAGAAAACTAACTGCTTTGGGCACCCGAGCAGTATCACAGCCCTCACACAAATCAAATGAGATTTGTGTGGCACATATGTATCTGGTGCAACCTTGTACCAATATCTATGTGTTCAAATAAATAAACTTCTATTGCTTAAACCTAAATTTTTCATTCTAATAAAGTTGATTTTACTGTAACAAAAACTGTTTGCTTAAACACAGGGAAACCTTCGTGGAAACTGATGAACCATGTAAAATTATAATGAACTTCTTAGTAATCAGTTTTTTTATTATTTTTAATATGCCTTTATTCATTTACTAATAAGGAGTATACAAATGTGAAGTTCATCACTGAAGTGTATCAATATCACAGTGGCGGGGTAATCAAACTGACCTAATTTACAAATGTAAAAAAACAAATAATTTTCGTGACACTAGTCACAATTTGTTATTTCAATGAAAATTACTAAGATTTAGTAGACTGTTACAAGAGCTCAATAGCCAGGTCCTTAACATATTAGCTTTACATTTTTCTACTACTTACAAGTAGTATTCATTATGTAGCTTAAATGTGGTGCTAGATACGATCGGTTAGTGAATAGTATCTCTACATAGAGTGAAAAATGGTTAGATGTGCTGATGAATGTAGAGCTCAACAGAAAATTTAAGCTATTTTTTTCTATAATCTGAGAAAATAATGACCCAAGTGACAAGAATCTGGTGAGAATTGATTGAAATCTCTTTAATGAGTTATGATAGCAGTAAAACAACATGATACTCATTTGATTATTACTGATACGTGTAGAAAACCACGTACATCAGAAATGACTGAGGATGTAAATGTGCAAACTGAGGAATTTCTAATGTCAGAGAAACTTTTGGAAACACCGCAATCAGGTCAGTCTGCAATCGACAGATACATCGATAAAGATCCAATTTATCAATCTACACAGAAAAGATCAGTTTATATATATATTTGAAAGTATGAACGGTGAGAATTCCTACTGGCCTGAACATATTTATTAGCACTGAAACTCTTCGTACCCGTTACCAAGAAATTCGGCCCATGTACCATTAGCCGCATCTTTGTGTGATGTTCCACATTTCCGTACTTTTATAGTATGTGCAGACAGTTTCTGTCCATTAAATTTGCGAAACCATGAGCTTACTTGTATGTTAAAATACAATATATTGGTGATTGGTTACAAATCAAATGATAGATGTTACTAACAATCAGGATCATCTATGTACGCTAGTTGATTGACGAGCATCACCCATGCATTTTTCCCCTTCAAATCTTTATGACCACCAATTTGAGTTACGCAGAGAACTTCTGTCATAGGTAACCAAAACTATAAGTGACTCCCACTAGATCTCCACATAATGAAGACACAAAGCACACAACTATGAAAAGAGGATTTAACTGCAAATAGCTTCAAAATCAACTGTATCATTTAGAAATCCCAAACTGAATAAAAGCGAATAAAGAAGACCCAATAGTCTTAATGTTTGCAATTTGATTGAAAGCCTGAACGAATTCAGGTTAAACCATCATTGGAAACCTGGAAGCATTAGACGGCCATTTCGTCCCATGACTAGACTCATCAGTAGTACGCATCAACGACCTTGCAACCGAGAATTGAATCTAAGACCTTTGTTCTAGCGCGCGAATGTTAATGTCTAACTTTAATCAATCTACTTATAATTTGTAACTTGTTACACATAGTAAATTATCATCTATTTGAATGTTGTCCGAATTGATAATAGATTCCTCCAATAGGTTATGAAAAAGCTTCAATGATTGCTGGACAGAAACACTAGTCGAAAAGTAGATTTTCCTGACTAAGTTCAGCAGAGCAAAATTCTTATATCGTGAACACTAAAGCCTGAATATAATACATGAACTATTTTAAATATTTCGATAATTAGGAAATATTTTACCGAATATTCAAAATTATCCGATCCCATATACCCTTGTGGTTTAGAAATATAATTCATCGTAACTGTGATTAGATACTTCTAGTTTAGGTAAAGCGAAGAAACTGTCCAACTGTAACTTGTAAGTCCTCAAGATATACTACCTCTGAGGTACATAGACACATTCATCGCAAACCAGTTACAGTACTGGTATTGTGTTTTCGGTTCTCTGGATTATGATGCACAGTTAAAATACACGTAAAATACGTGTTAAGTTCCGATACGAGCTAAATCAATGATAAGAATAACTCTGTGAAAAACAGAAATCATGAGATTGAGTAGAAAAAAGGAAGTTAGTGGTAAAGAGTTGTAATATCCTTGAAAGTAAACTGTGTATTTATGTGGAAATCAACGAAATGAGTGAGTCGGTTATAAGCAAAGTAGAGAACGTGAGACATATTTACATCCGTTGAATTCGCCACACTACATCACAGATGAGATAATGAGGACATATGTCAGAGTAGAAGTAATAGTAATATCTGTGATAGTAAAAACGATGCACAAAAAATATGGTTTGAAATTAAAGAATTTAATGTACCCCCAGTGCAACTTTTGCAGCTAAACCTTAAGAGGAAGATCGATTTCTCAATAGGGAGAGGTGATAGGGTCTGATTACTTGGTGAGCTTTTGTACACTTTGAATAAGTTTAACCAACACAGTTTGGTACTTATTTCTTGTCTTCTTACTCGAGTAACATGTTGGGTTCACATGAAAGAAAGATACATATAAGCATCAGAATCGCATAACCGCCAAATATAACACGATATCTCGACAGGATAAAAAGTGTGACATATCTTTGAAACTCAGGATCTAATGGGGGAGATAATGAATGAGTGCATTTCCGTTGTTAATACCGATTCTGAATCATGTCATTTAACATCTGTAACTATTGTTATGATAATCCCTCGAGCCTTAACCAGATAGTCTACACCTAACCACCATGGCTCAAATCAACAGTCAATAACTTCATGGATTAGTACCACAGGATGATAACATTAAAAAGAATGTAGTAAATATAATGCTTGCATACCAAATCTGAATCATAATATGTATTCTATGTTGTATCGAATGATTTATCATACTTCACAAGTATTTCATGAAAAAGGATGGTCTAATTTTTATTATGTTGAACAAAGATAATGACAAAAATGTATGATCAATTTAATTACAAGAAAGAGAGATATAACACTGTGATGTTATATCATAGCATGGCGTTCTCATACGAATAAGCACTTGCCCAATACATTAGATGATGATTGAATATGTATATATAAAAAACGGTGGAAGAATGAATATACGAATAAGTAAAATCACAGTTATTTAAAAAAAATTTGCAGTTGATTTCTTTGCATTTTAAAGCAGGATTGATTGGTTTATTGTCGATTATATTTGATCCCAGATTATCTGAATGTATTTCCCAACGTTTTTGTGAATTTCCCTCTAATGTTAACAAGGACATGTTAATGATGAGCTAGGTTGAGTAGATTCAAAGGATACTCCTTGAGGTGGTTGTGACGTTGACGTTAATGACAGGAATTCAGGATCTTGAAGTATCTAGGATTTTAGATTATTCAAATGTGATAGAAATGTCAAGAAATTAACAAACAAACAAAAATTTTATTTTAAACTCACATTATATCCATAACTTTGAGGAACGTTTTAGTCATATACACTAATGAAGTTATAATATTTGTGGTAACTGAGGCTAATAAAGAAATGTCTAGCAATCCACTGAAGTCAGGGTGTATCTCTAACAAAAATATAAACATTTCAAGACTGTAATTATCTATAGACAAAACAAATTCTTAATGAATTACATTGAGATATTTATAACCAAAATAAACACGAAGAACAATCAAAGTAAAGCTTGAAATGAACGTGTATCGTCCCAGTTTACCACATATCATACATCATCGTCACCACAAACATCATTACAATAGAAACAATCGTATACATTGTATAGGAAGGCTAAACACAAGAGATATAGTGTACAAGAGAAACGAATAAAACTATGACAACACATCATGCTCAAGAATTACATATAAATGAAAAATGAATGCTACTGTGTAACTGTGTTACCCAACGTTTCAAACCATATATCATAATCAGCAAGCTTATAGCTGCAAATACAGCTTAGGCCGACGAGCGCCCTCAAATGCCCTGGTACAGACGAGAATGGGGAGAATCAGCTCTCCTCCAAATGATCTCATATGGCCACGTGCATACAACCACTGACACAGAAGTCCTACTCACTACCTTCTCGAATCAAACGTGTTGTTTACGAAGTTGAAAGGAGGAAAAGCGAATGTCCGGCACTATAACTGGGTTAATGGACACGGCAAGTTCACCTAGGAAAGTTGGAAAACCCTCATTCCAAACCAATGGTGCACATGGGCTGGGCCCAGTATCCTGAGAGAACAAATGGCGTATGAACCAATTGTTGGTCACCGGCTACCATGAGACTGCATCTCCTAACGTTGCTCCACTGCCTTATGGATTAGACCTTTATGTCAAATGCTCTGTGTGTGGTCTCCTAAGAAAACCACCTGGTTTGGTTTGGGCACCGGAGGAGAACTCCAGCTCTCACACAAATCGAATGATTTATGTGGCGCATATCTAGTTGGTGCTTCCTTGTGCCAATGTTTATTTGTTTAAATAAATAAATAAGACCAACGAGCAATGAAATCATGGCCTGATATCATATTTTCAAATTGGTCACATCGAGTTTTGATACACTACTATGCCAGACATGTGTGAAACAGTCTATCTGAAATGTTTTGTTTAACCTTAGAATTGGTCATTTAGTGGTTCAAGTATACACGAAAACATCAGTGACTAAATGCATATATTCTAATCTAACAGACCATAATTCATACAAACTTTGCCACAAGTGTCTCAAGTCGTCAAAAGGGGAGAACTTTTTATTTTAATCCCCGACCACCCACAAACGCTAATGAAATTTTTAAGGTAAGTAGAGCAATCAACACGCTCGACCACTCCACTTTCTGTTTCGAGTCACACTAAAGTTTCTAACCCCTTTCGCTTTACTGCCAAACGTGTTTTGAAGGATAACGATTATTTTAGTGTCTTCACCAAATGAACTACGTCGTCTGCGTGATCGCAAACAGTGAAAGTCGATTTGAATTTTCAAGAAACTAATGCACTTTCTGGTACACTTTTTAATAACAAACACTGGCATCAAACCTGTGAACAAACAAAGTGAAATGCCGTTTTCAAGTCAAGAAAGACGATTGTGGTTAAGCATCGTGTTATAACTTGTCGTTTGAATGCTTATTGTCTTGGCTCTTTTGATGCTACTTTTTGTATCTGTTCATCGCTGATTGTTATGTCGGGAACGCTTATCACTTATACTCGGAACGAAGGACCTTTGCAATTCCCACGACGCGATAGTAAGAACACAAAGACTGGTATAAGTGAAGATTAATTAACCTCAAAACACGATGATGACGACGACCTTAGTCGAAAAACACACTCATTTATATATTGCTGTACACACACTGATTAATAATTAGGATGAAATCACATATATGAGAACTACTTAGAGTTATAACAAATCATATGCTGAATATAGTTCATGTCAATGGAATACAAGAATATCGCATATTATACAGTATAAAATATCATACGAGACAATAAAACAACTACTGCATTGAGTAATCATTACATTGAATCAAAATGGAAGTAATGTTGAACAAAACTGATAATGAGTAAATCAATCGAAAATTGACTTTTCTTTACATCATATCACATTGATAAGCATGTTCAAAAATCTGTTGAAGGATGAGTATATATTCTGCATTACTTATTTATTATTTATTTTAACACATAGATATTGGTACAAGGAGGCATCAAATACATATGCGCCACGTAAATCTCATTCGATATGTGTGACGGCTGTGATACTGCTCGGGTGCTCAAATCGAAGCAGGTGATTTTCATAGGGGGCCACTCCCTGAGCCTTCGACCTGAAGGTCTGATCCATAAGGCAGTGGAGCAACGTAAGGAGATGCAGTCCCATGGAAGCCGGTGACCAACAATTGCTTCATACGCCATTTGTTTCCGCAGGATACTAAAGCCCATGTGCACCATTGATTTGGTTTGGGATCCGGTTAAAGCGCCGGACATTCGCTTTTCGTCCTTCCAATTCGTAAACAACATTAATGCTACGAGAAGGCAGTGAGTAGGACTTCCCTGGCAGAGGCTATATACGCGTGGCCATGTGAGAGCATTTCGAGAGGGAGAGCGAACTCTCCCCACCCTCGGCCGTACCAGGGCATTTGGGGGCTTCACGGTTATATAATATGTCCCTGTGGGCCAGGGTAATTTTACATTGGTTTTCAGGAGAACCAGACACCATCCAAACTTTCACGTAAAAACCCAAACAGTACAGCTCAACTCCGTTTAGCAGGGGAACCAGACACTGTATAGGCTTTAACGCTACAATCTGAATAGTACAGCTCAATCCTGTGGCGCAACCATACAGGTACCAAGCACCCTGGTGGACCAAACCCAGGTCTGAAACAGGACTTTTTTATTTAGCTTGCTTTCACCAACCTTTATTTATGCACCAGATGATTTTGAAAATTGATATTTTATGAATTATCAATAAACAGTTATCATAGGGTTGCCATCTTTTCGTATAAACCAAAATGACTAGATATCTAGGCCAACTAAGGGGAAGCGGTTTGAACTCCTAGACATAGTAATCAATCTGACCAGTATTGTTAAACGCCTCTGGAATTAATCCGTCAGTATTCTTTTGTGGCTTGTTTCAAATTAATTATAATCCTTACAACTCCAGTTGGAATACATTGGAGCAAATTAGTGAGAACGTGATCTGGCAAGTAAGAATTAAGCTTGTCAGTCAGGTCTTAGTCTTATTGATGTAAATGATCTATAATAATTTGTGTAATGTAACTTCTAATCACGAGGTAACATTTTTATTATGAAAAAACCAACTCTATTAACCAATTGTATCACCTTTGATAACAGTTCAAATGAGAATGAGTCAATAAGAATTCAATTTCATGTACACTTGTCAGTTGACTATGATGAATTATTTTGAATTACCTATAGGTCAACATTCCATTTTTCCACTTAACAACCAAAATGTATACATAATGAATCCAAAAAATTTATTGTCAACACATTAATAGTGGAAGACCTTAAAAGAATCAAGTGAAACCGGAATGTGTATTATTCATTCGAACACATAAATATTGGTACAAAGGTGCACCAAATACATATGCACCACACAAATCACTTGATTTGTGTGTGGGTTGTGATACTGCCTGGGTGCCCAAACCGAAGCAGGAGGTTCTCCTAAGGGGCCACACACAAATGTCCCAAAACATATAAAGAGATTAATTACGCAACAACTAGTTAGTTTTAACCAGTTGAATTTCTGATGAAATACGATAAATCACAAACCAACCGAAAATTTAGTATAATAATTGCTAAATACACCGACCAATCAATCGTTTCAAATAATCATTATCTCATAGGTTGAAATCATGAGTCGATTGAAGCTAGACCACCATGGAAAACCTGGAAGCACTGGACGGCCGTTTCGTCCTAGTATGGATGCCGGCATCCAATGGTCTAGTGGTCAAGTGCTCGCGCGCGAAGCCAGTAGGTCCTGGGTTCGAGCCCCGCGTGGTGCGGGATCGTGGATGCGCACTGCTGAGGAGTCCCATACTAGGACGAAACGGCCGTCCAGTGCTTCCAGGTTTTCCATGGTGGTCTAGCTTCATCTGACTCATGATTTCAACCTGTGAAATTTCTAAAACTCTCCACAAAACCCATTCTGATAATCATTATCTATATACATAATAATGGGTACAAAAATAAGACTTACTTTACGAACAAGTTCTACAAAAGCATCACGGACATTCTCACTTGTTTTTGCACTGGTTTCAACAAAGATTGACCCCATACTTCGAGCGAAATCTGAACCTTCTTTTTTTGAAACTATGCGATTATCCTATGGATAGAATATCTCTAAAGATAATTTCAACAAACTAACCAAGTCAATTTTATTGCCAACAAGCATTTTTAAAAGTCGACTACCACAGAATTGTCTGGTTTGTTCTACCCAGTATTTCACTCCGGAAAGACTTTGTGCGGAAGTAACATCGTATACTAAAAATGATGAGGAGAATAAAACTATAGGCTTGTTTTTACCAAAAAGAGCACCATGAGCGTGGCGGTAAAGCGAAGGAGTCAAGTAACTACTGTATCGTTCAACACCAGCTGTATCCTAATAACATGAAAATAAGTGTTCTACAATGTTTATGACATGACGTTTACCCATATATTAAACTGAATTGTTCTTCCGTCTACAACCATTTGATATGGTTTGAAATCGAAACCGATCGTCGCCGCTTCATTGTGTGTAAATCGGTCATCAACAAATCGACGAATTAAACTATATAAAAGAAAGCAGTTTGCAGAAGGTAAATGATATATATGGAAGAACATACCTTGTCTTCCCCACACCTGAATCTCCTAACAGGATTAATTTAATTTTTATCGATTCTTCACCGGCCATATTTTAAATATCTAAAGAAGTAATAATATTAAATGATAGTATTTGGACTAATAACCATAATAGAATTCGTCTACGTAAAATGTAACATGGTTGCAGAGGACTTTCATTAACTTCCAAGGAACATTAGTTTATTCCAGTAAATAAGAAAACCAAATAATTCTAAGTTATGAGTTCCCTTTACACATGAAAGTTGTTTAATTTTTGTAAAGTAACACAAAGCGGAATCTTATGCAGTGTAGTTGTTATTTTAATACGCTGGTGGACATCCGGTTTCGATTGAGAATAACAGGTTGGAGGAGTGAAGCTAGGATCTCGTGCTAGTGTGAGGACTTTTTGATTTACAAACGCACCGAGGTAGATTCGTTGATTAATAAACCTATTGAATAACTTAACCCACTAGTGTCCTAATAACTGTTGACACAACAGTTCACAGAATAGCTGAAAAATATTTGTCCCTAAATTTATAAAAACTCCTGTCTAAATTTGATCAAGTAGTTTCACAGTATTTGAGCACCAGGTTGGTGTGAGACGTTAATGAAGAAGAATGTATTTGTAAAATCTCAGAGAATGAATTGGTAAATCCAACGTTTCACCTCGTAATCTGGTCCAACGTTTTTCAAGCAATTATAATCAAACATCAAAATTATCAAATATAAAAATAGGTATATGGTCCTCTGGTTAACTATATACTAAATAGGTCATCTAATTAACGTTAACAGTTCTTAAAGTAGGTATTTGCTCTAGTGTGTGAGAGACATGTGATGTGAAACGGTGTTAAGATAACAGATTGAATGTATGCGTAAGTGGTATGAGAAGGAATCTCATTCACTATATATTGTCTCTGATCGGTGGATTTTTAAGAAAACTACTATTTTTACACGTGATATGAATCAAACATGTCACAGCATGCAAAAAATGAAGAGAAATAAAGGAATGAATGTTTGTATAACTTTTATTGTTCCAGTTAATTGTTTAGCATATTTAGATAAGACAACTGATTAGAAGCGTTGAACGTAATTGTTGTTATTCAGATAATAAGTATGGTCTAAAATTATTTAAAACAGGAGTGATTTTTAGACACTGATTTTGTAGGTTATTCACGGAACTACGAAATCGAAGTCTGATTATCAGGCTTAGTGTCCACCATATTATTTAGCAAACAGATCTGTTCAATCAGTTCACTGAAAGTTGATGAGCATCCAGACATGGATTTTGGCAACCAAAATCATATTGATCCCAGCAGCTAATGCCCAAAATTTCACAGTATATTCTCATATGACAGCAAGGAGTAAGTATCACATATGTAATCTTCAGTCAGCTTGTAGGTACTGTACACCCAATAAGAATGAGTGTGCAATCTTGTATAACATCACTGAGCTCCAGTCAAACCTTTGATTTATTAAATACTTCTATACAAGATTTCAGATATGACTGTTATTGACCCACAGTCTACTGATGTGATAATTGGTCAATTGCAAAGTTGCATACGTGTGTAAAACCCTGTGTTGATAACTGACTGACATTCATAGGTTTAAACGCATTTCCTTACCCTTTTATTTTTACTAACATGATATCAGTGTCAATGCTTTACCTACCCTTAATGTGAATGGTGTTAAGTAATGGGTAACTGGGTGCTATGGGAATATATCGGAAGGATCTTAGAATGCTGATGAGGAAGACTAGAAAAATATTAGTGCCTCAGAATGAACGAACCAGCTGCCCAAAAATATATTAGGAGGACTTGTTGTTTTCTCGCTCAGTATCCTTCTAAGTTGAGTGTGACATATTGGTCAATTCAGGTTATCAAATCACGGAGAACATATCTGATGGTATTTGTGGTTCTCTATGATAGTCATGGGATGGTAACTTTCAAGAGGAAACAGTGAAAACAACAGTACTTTGCTGCATCTTTAGCTTGTTCACCCTGAATTGCATGATACACTAATGAAGCCATAGCTAATCCAGAAGACAGCTTCAGTAAGGAATAAGCGACTGTATACCGTTGGTTGAAAACGAACTAGATTCGCGGAATAGTCTTCTGTTACACTCAACAGTAAACTAGAGTTCATATTATTATCAATTTCCATAGCTTCCAGTTTACATTCATTCTTTTTTGTCTGTCTGATACGGAGTTTGAGATTGTAACCACTTACTTCATAACTTAGTGAGCTCTTCTAAGGATAACAGAGTAAACATAAAGTTTGTATATATAGAAGGTTCTGACCTCTGTCGTTTACACTTGGTTTAAATGTTTAACATTTCAATACTAAAATCTAGAGTAGAACTGCTTATTACAGCCAGAGGGGCATATGGAAAAAATAGATTAAAAAATTAAGTGAGTGGACGAGGTTCCTTGAGACACCTAATTAGTATGATAATAAACCTTATTTGGTTAATAAGTTTGCAAATTTGAATTAGAAACGTTTTACTTTTGCGACGGTAGAAGTTTAGTACAAGTAATGTCCTTTGATGAGGAAAGCCTTAAACTCTAGCAAATTGTAATTTCTGTTTTGGTAAACGGAGAAAGATTTCGTTTGGATGTTATCTGTGATAAAGTTTTTATTAAGGATGAAGGTTTTCAACACTGACTTACATTAGGTATGACACAAAAAAGCTAGGGTTAAGGATTTGGAGTTGGGCTGATTTTGAGTTAATGTTGGGATTAGGGATTAAAGTTACAGTTTTCATAACGAACTGAAACTAACTATAGCGCAGTGATGTTTTACGCTTTCAGATTATAAAATTACGGCAGCTAGTGCTGAAAATTAGAGACAGAAGATAGAATAGGAGAATGCCTCTTGGCTTTACACACATTTGAGGCTATGAAATGAATCACACAAGGCACTCCCATGGACAACCTATACCATTTGTACGCATTTCGCGTAATTAGGCTAAGGCACCATGTCGCATTTATATGTGACTGGGTGGAAGGTATATTTATGGATTATTCTTGAAACCAGTTATAAAAATTTACACTCCGTTTATAACAAGAAGTACGGTATTTCTTAATGAGAAGCCAACGTTTGGTTTTAATTGACTACAATTTTGCCAAGTTTTCCAAGACTCTTTGAAGGTAATAAAAAGCAAAAAAGGCTCATTGGAACCAAAACTTTTACCAATCTCTACCAAGCATTATTCGGTGCTAACTGCCTGGGAGCCGAAAGATAGTGGAAGCAATCACAACAAGTTCAAAAGACGGGGCCTAGGAATAACCTTGAGATCTAAATAGTTCAAATGGTCCAAATTGTTGTGGACGGAATTGAAGAAGCTGTCGCTTAACGGGCTTCCGTGTCTAGTAATAGTGGATCACCTAAACCTCCAGGCAGGGACGTCGGTATATTAATGATAATAGAAGTAAAAGAAATTGATAAATCATGCTAAGATATTATCCCTAGTCCTTAAGAATGGGTCAAGTTTCCTCTTGAAGGACTCCTGGGAAGTCACTTGGATTAGCTCAGCCGGCAGCGAATTCCAGCATTTGACAATCCTTAGGGACTAGAAGTTGTGTCTACAGTCCGTTCTGCTGTATTGTGTCTCCAGTTTTTGGATGTTCCTCCTTAGGTTTGTTGTGTTGGAGCTAAATCTAAGTAGATATTTAAGGGGACGTCCAGAAGTATTAAGAATACTGCAAGCTATAAGGTCACCTCTAAGACGCCTGTACTCTAGTGGGTAAGGGTTTAGTGATTAGAGGTGCTTTTCGTAAGGCTTGAATTTGGGTCCCCGAACTGATTTTGTGGCTCGCCACTGATACGTTCCAGAGTGTTCTTATCCTTCTGGAGTGAGGGAGGAAATACTATGTTTTCGTACTCTAAGTGGGGAAGAATGAAACTGTTGAAGATTATGTGGAAAGTTTTTCCGTCAAACTGGTCAAAAATGCGCTTCAATTTTACCAGTGCGAGGCTTGTTCAGAAGGCATTTTTGTCACAGTTATCATTAGACTTCGAATCGTAGGACACCAGCACTCCTCAACCTTTTTCAACTCGGGATACTTCTAGAGAGGGGTTTCCCAAGTTGTAACTGTAGTCTGCAACATGTCTCGGATAAACTACTTTACACTTTGAAGTGTTAAAGGTAAGTCCGTTCTCGTCTGTCCAACTTTGAAGTCGAGTCAGATCCTCCCGAAGTGCCTGTATATCGTCTTGAGTATCTCTCTCGAAAGTTTCACATCATCAGTAAAAAGTGATAAGTCAGACGATACCTTTTGTGGAAGATCGTTTATACAAATCAAGAAAAGAAGAGGTCCCATTACTGAACCCTGGGGGACCACACCAGGACATTCCATTGTCTGAGAGAAAGTGAGGCTAACCCTGACCTTAAAATGTCGATTTTTTATATATGAAGTCCGCCGGTAATTAGAGGTGATTTGATATCCAAACGTCTGAGCTTATTGATAAGACATATATGGTTGACACTATCATAAGCTTTTGAGAAATCAAGGTTAATGACGTCAACCTTCTACTTACGATCACAGATGCTTGTTCATCTGTTCACCGCGGTCAGCAGATGGGCTATACAAGAGTGACTCTTCCTGAAACAAGGCTGTTGTGGTGAAATGGAGTTTAAGGATAAGAAATAGTCGTGTATACCGCCACTTATCAGTGACTTCATGGTTCTTGAAGGTATAGGGAGAAGAGCCATCGGTCAGTAGCTTGAAGGTTCGCTGAGTCGACCTCCTTTGAAAATTGGTGTGATGTGAGCCAGCTTCCAAATATCCGGTAGTTTGTCTCGGCTTAGCGAGTGTGAGAACATCACGCTAAGCGACGTTGTCAGCATTGGAGCTGCTTTCTTTAGTATAGCAGAATGAACCATATTCAGACCAGGAGAAGCGTCTTTTCTTAGGTGTCTCAGTTTTCGGTACACCAGGTCAGCGTTCAGGTTCACTTCGAAAAGTCCTGTGCAGTTGCAGATGGAACTGTCATCAATATATTTGTTGTGGGTCTGTTGAAATGTTCGAGAGCACTGTTCAGCCAGATAGTTAGCGGCGTCACTGTGGTTATTTGTCGAACAATTAGAACCCAGCAGTTGCGAAACTCCAGTTTCGGCTTGACAAAGAGACGCTGTATAACGGAATAAGCTTTCCGGATCGGAGACAAATTTATCGATAAGCTTTGTCTGGTACTGAAGTCTGTCGTCTCTTATTGTTTTTGTGTATATGTTCTTTATATGTATGTATTGCCTGTACGCGCCGTTGTTATAAGTCCGTTTGTGTTCCGCACAAAATTGCCTTTTGTATCCTAGGTTGCTTGTAGGTTTTGGGGATAATTTGCCTTGTAGCACATAAGATCGTGTGCAGTATGAAATCCCAATGAGGATCCTTTCAAGTTCAGGGTGAATTCCCAAATCCTTATGTTGTAGATTTGAAGAACTATGGTCTACTATGATATCACTACTGCTCTAATAATAGACCTAATCCTCAAATTGTAGACTTGTCATGATGTAACTGCCTAACCTATAAGATCTTACGTGAAAGTCACATCATTGTCTACACTGACTCACCTTATCGTAACAATTACTAATTTATGATGGAGAACACATTCAGGCCGGAGATATAACAACATATTTAATATGAGTAACAGCAAGTTGTACAGAGCGACCATGTCTGCGAGGTTGGGCCATGTTTTCCGATCAATTCGAACTAATTCACTTCATTGTTCCAGCCTTCTCCATCGTTGAGCTTTTCTCCCAGTTAAATGTTGAATATGTATCTTCCCAGTTGTCTCGTGTTCAGCTTTAAGGATTTTGTGGTTGGAGTCCAGTGTCACTACTAATACATCGAGAAGCATTTCGCCTAAGCTGGCTAGAAGTTGTAAGAGATGTGTGGTACGGCGTACCCATTCGTGATCTGGTGTGGATGCGTGACCGAGCACCTTCAGCTAGAATGTGTCCAGTAAAATTAATGGAGTCGGCATCAGTTAGGAAGATCTATAGAACTAGTTATTTACCGCTACAGGAATCCCGAGGGACGAAGGTGAGAATGGAGACAAGAATAAATCAATAATGCATATTAGTGATATCGGGCACAGCTATTTCAAGAGGTAGACGGTTATCCACGAATGAACATTCGTTTGTCGAGTCGTCCAAGGTATTCGCGTCTCTTTTGAAGGAGTGGCCGGAAAACCATTCCGAACTTTAAAGTGAGGCCACGAGTATATTCTCGGTAAAATTTAGAGAGGGTTTTAAGGTGATTGCGTCACGTTGTTCTCACATAAAGTGGGTAGTCGTATTTGCTATGATTACAACCCCGATATAATTTGAAGTGGTGCTCAAGCTCTCTGTGGTTCTTAGCACGAAATCGAGGTCTAAGTGGAAAATCATGTGGACTTTCATGGAGTATTCATCCTGGTTGTGTTCCATAGAAATGAATTTCCATGACATAACATCCTGGTAGTTGAAGCTCCAACTCATCGTTTCTGGCCTCCCCTCAATTGTCTCAAGGATAATTTGATGCCAAAGTGGGTCCTTTTGTTTTCATAGGCTTTTAGATCTTAGTGTCACTTGCAAAGATTAGTGGTGACCTTATCTAACGGGTTGTTAATAAAGATTGGGGACAGAAGTCGTCCTGTGATTGCTCCTTGTGAGATTTCAAATGTTAAAGCATAAAAGCTTGCGTGCGCCATACTTACATTCGTACGAATTATCCTGTTCTCAAAGTAGTTTCGGAGTCAAGATTGAAGTCGAGATGGGAAACTTATATTTTCAACCTTCTCTATGATAAGTAAGTGTGGTAAGGTTCCGAAGGCTTGACCTATTCTTAAGGACTAAGAACAACGTCTTATTATGAGCTAACAATTTCTTTTTTTCTAATCTCTTATAGTTAATATACCTAGATTCCTACCAGGAGGTATTGGTGATCCCCTACTAATAGACAAGGAAGCCTGTTAAGCGAAAGCTTCTTTTACTCGGTCCACAACCATTTGAACCATTTTAATAATCGAGGAATATCACATGAACCGTAACCTTCTTGTCCCAAAAGGTACTCAAGCTGTCCGATGCTATGAGAAGACTGTATACTGAGGACCTACCTTTCCCAAATACGTATTAGACCTCATTGAAGTTGTTTTTGTTCATTTTCCTGTCTTTTATTTATTAACTAGTATTTTCGTTACCTTTGACAGTATTGGCGTTAATGTAACTGTTCTATAGCAGGCTAGTTCTTTCTTACATCATTTTGAAGATTGGAGAGATCGTAACCTGTTTCCATTCTTCTAGACGTTGATGTTGCTCTAGCGCGTTCCTGAACAGGTGGTATAATAGTGAACTGTTGGCTCAGGATCATAAGGCAGACGTTCCTACATGTTAGTGACTTTCCTGAGCATATGATTCTTATTTTTCCTAGTGCCGATCCGGAAGTAAGATGGATATTCATCCGGCCTTTAGGTAGCCGGCAGGCCTCATGAGTGCAAAGACCACCTGGTTTGTAGGTTTATGTTAAGTCATAAATCTGCAGCGGCATTGGCCCCAACCACAAGATACTCAAAGCCGAACATACGATGGCTGAGAAAACCCGTACTAAATATCCCGGGTAAGAGGGTCAAATCGGTGGACGTAGGAACACTTCAGCGGTATGAAATGCCTCAATCACGCAGGTGTAGTCGCTCCACATAACCTCGTGCTGTATCACATTAAAGATGTTACTTTATCTCTATCTCAAGTGTGTTCTTCATGGTTTGACAGCTGCAACGGCTGACAGGCACGATAATACTAGTTAGTGTGGACAACATGGTGACTTTCACATAATGTCTGGTAGGTAAGGTCACATCATGGCAAGTACACATTTATGGATTATGCTTACTTCTCTAGTAGCAAGGATAAATACATTAATACTGACCCAGTCCCCAATTCTACCGACTTATAGAGATAATATATTAGACTTGTATTTTGACTACTAGCCATATCTCGAAATATCTCCCTTCGCTGCTAGCTTTGACGTTCCGTATATTTTCTTATGCCAGGTAGGAGCTACGGTCAGGATATTTTGGAAGATTTATCCATTTATGCAAGGCTCTCATTTTTGCCTGTAACAAGCATCATATGCCTTCCTTAACCTTGGGTCTTTCCTTTTCAGGTGTTTATTTTGATAGGGAATTATCTTTAAGCCGAAGTGACCACAGCCCCGTCAGTGGATAGCTTCAAGAGGGGACCTGACAAACACGTACTCACTCATGAATTACCATCTCCCTCCTCGAGCATATGTGTCTGGTGGACGTCTCATAAATTATCACGGTTATCATCACCATGTATCAGTAACTGCTTTCTATATCTCTCGGTACTATCTGTGTTCCTTTTCTTATTCACTCAAGTTCGTCTTATTACGCATTATCAATTGATTAACTCGTTTATTATTCTTGAAATAATGGTCTTTTAGCGTTCTAATTATCACTTTATTATTTTCATGTTGCAACCATCCAACCCCCTACATGGTAATGTTATGGCCAGTGGTATCCAGAAAGCCTAATATCCTGAGACAAACATACCAACCAAATGATTTACTAATCCATAGATAAGTACCTAACTCACTGGGACTAGTGCATTCGAGTGGTGAGACTTCCACACGTTTGACATTAGTAAATACCTGAAACCGTACCGAAACGACAAGAAGTGAGTGCAAAGAAATTAATTCGTTTATACAAGCTCGTGGCAAAGCAGAGAAGGCCGACTTCAAAGAGGTCCATCCGAAACAAAAACTCAAGAAAATAATTTTTTCTGTCCCCTGTCCTCCAAATGGCAGCCAGCAGGAAACGCCTAAAAGCTTAATCGTGAGGCTAGATCTGTTTCTACCAGGTAAAACAACCTGACCGCTCATGTCGCCGGTAATCTTCCGGAATCCCACAGTGTTTTTGACGCGACTGGGGTTGCTACTCCAACGGAAGTCGATAAAAGGGTACGGGTAGAGAACAAGAAACGACATAACGCCATTAAACAAAAGTCAACCTCCCTCAAAGTAGCCGAGAAATTAAAGACTTATCGTAGTGACAGGCCAATTATCTTTCATGGAATCAAGGAGAGTGGAAACTCAGAACCCAAAGCTGGTTTTGAGCATGACTCTGGGTTGATAAAACAGCCACTAAATCAGTTAGTTCATCAGGATATCTCCGGAGTCATCTTGCTAAAGATGTATAGACCAGGAAGCCAAATGAACCTGAAACAGAATGAGTGGTATTTAAACCTCCCAATGAATGGGGCCTAATATTTCAGAATGGACATACACTAAAGGGGTCAGGAGTTTTCGTCCGTAGGAACATGCCGCTCGCAGACTGTGTAATAAGATGAGAAGCTGAAAAAGAGCCAAAACTTAGGTTAGATTCTAGCGAGAAGGACCTAACAATTGTAAAGTTTTTGATTGTGAGGCCTCGACAGAGAATGGTGCCAAAGCTACTATGGGTGCAGCACGAAACCATTTAAATAGGCCTCGGATCTGTTACACAAATGACGGAAACTTACTCAACATGCTATCGGAGCTAAGTGTACAGACAGACCCTACGATGCTGGATGTAATCCCAGTCACAGAAACGTGGCTGACTTAGCCTATAGATAGTATGGAAGGTTTCGCGTCAGTGAGTGTCAACAGAATCCAGAAGGGTAAAGTAGGAGAAGTAGCTATATAAATATTGGGAATATTATCCCATTTGCAATTATCGACTATCCCATGAAAGTGGGATGTGTGAATCGGTTATTTGTCGCTTGAAATGCATGTGACAAGGGCTGCTGATTGGTTTTGTCTACCGCAGTCGAAGCTGTGAGGTAAATGAAGTCTCGCTAGACCGTATCAACACTTGGTCATGAAGTGATCCATGTCTAATCCTAGGAGACCCTGATGCACCCATAGTAGACTGGAAACATCTGAGGACCGAATTGTCAGAAAATTTCTTCAATTAGGAACTAGTTGATGGGGTACAACTCGGACTCTGAGTCACCCTTACGAGATCTTATATTTACTCATTATGAGGATGACGTCACGAACCCCGATTACATGCCGCCCCTAGGTGAAAGTAATCATGCAGTTCTGAACTTTAATTTCCGTTGAGTTGTTGGAAAGGAGTGCGCGTTAACCCAACCTATATCTTACGTCCGAAAAGCAAATATAGAAGATATTATACACTCAGAATCGACAGCAGATCGAACAATAGAGCGAGAGTCGCCAGCAAAGAGCACGAGTGAACTTCAAAATGACACGGAGAAATTATCCGAATGGTCTCAAACTTGGCAGTTGCCGATGAATACTTCCAAGTGTATTGTGATTCATTTTGGTCATTAAGGTACAGATGCATACATGACGAATAACATTGAGATACCTGTTGGCCAGACACACAGTGACTTAAGAGTCATCGTTACTTAAGACTTAAAAACCACTGCACACAGCTGTGCGATAGCCACCAAAGGTTTTACAAACGTATGATCAATACGTAGGACCTCTAGCCATGTCAATGGTAAAACTTTTTGACTTTGTATAAAGGATTAGTGCGTCCTAAACTCAAGCGTTGCATACAAGCGGCTTGCCCCTGCTTAAAAAAGACGGTGAACTTTTGGAGAAGTTTCAGAGAATAGCGACTAAGCTGATTCCTGGGATAGCGAAGCTTCCGTAAGGTACTCAACTGGCTAAACGTGACCTATTTCCATTATCATATCGGAGAACTTGTTAATCATTGAAATTGATGATCTCTCTCGAATGATTAGAGGCCTACTAGAGTTAGACAGGAATGGTGCACAGAACCAGCCAATTTTGAAGTCACACATCACGGTCAGCACCTAACGTGGATTATCCCTTCGACATATAAAAATACTATGGCTGCTTTGAAGACCGTATAACACAAAGGACGTTACTACGGAAATACATTCGTATGAATGGGTAAAGAGGAGATTTACGAGCATTTACGAGGACACTTCATAAAAGTTCACAAGCCCAGAACAAATTACTTGTTTGCTCACCATCGACTTTTCCATAGAATAATCGAATGGAATTCATTGACTCAACATGTGGTTGAAGTTCCATCTGTCGACTATCTCAAAAGAAAAAGTTGGATCAATTAAGAGATAGTAATTGCCAGGATTAACACAGGCCATCTAGCCTTCTATCCTTTCCAAATTGAAACTGAAACTGAGATTTAATGAAACCGCAAGGTCAGACTTCGGAGTTTCGTTCAAATTAGATATGGCGGGTGTTGTTCTTGAGACTTTAAACGTTCGGAAGCTTGCTTCTTTTGGATGTCTTATGCTAGCTGTACAAATTTGCTTTTTCCTTATTGGTGGACTTATAGCACCAGCTCCTAACACAACAGACCAGATATTAATGTCCAAGTGTATTGATCGTTCCGGTGATGTATTAAAGTGGCATTTTGCCAGACCGATATCTAATGAGAGCTGTCAGGAACTCTTACCAGATGGTGATATTGAGGAAGTAGTTCCGTCTGACGTTGATGCAAATGCAATAGTGTTCATTGCTCAGTTCCCACACCCAAGAGATGGGATGGATCTGCATATGACCAGATGGTTCCAACAAGTCATTGGTGTGTTGATGTTAGATATCAAGCAAAAATATTCCAAGGAAGTAAGTTAAAATTAATAAGTATTTATGTATGAAATTTCTAGCAGAAGTAGTAGTAAAGAATATTTAATCAAGTATTGACTAGTTTCATTTCACTAATATAAGCCGTGCGGTAGCTGTTTGGTATGTAGCTAATGTACATAACATAGCGTTGGTTGAGGCTAAAATGGCCATGTAACCTTAAGGACATATCTCTTATCCGCCTGTTTCTTGGGTCGATAATATATTGAAAAAAAGTGTAACCAGCAAACTAGTTGTAGAGAATGGATATTCTGTTGTAATTTTACTAACCAAGATTTGGTACTTGGCGGGTATTGTTTTGTATGTGTTGTATAAAAGTATGCATGTAATTTGGATCATTTATATTGTAATCTATGGTGTTTCAACTTGACCCACTCTATGTACTAACGGAGCTCAATTTATCCACTACTTTTTATTTATGTAAACACAAATATTAGTACAAGGAGGCATCAAATATGTATGCACCACAATTAGTCATTCGACTGTCATGAGAACTGGGATATTGTCCGGGTACCCAAATTGAAGCGGGCGGTTTTCTTAGGGAGCCATTCCCCAAGCCTTTGATCTACAAGTCTAATCCACAGGGCAGTGGAGCAACGTTAGGAGAAGCAGTCTCATGGTAGCCAGTGACCAGAAATGCGCTTACACGCCATTTTCCCTCAAGATCCTGGAGCTCATATGCACCATTCGTTTGGAATCAGAGTTTTCCAACTCTCCTAGACGGATCCTCCATATCCACCAACTCAGTTAAAGCGCCGGACATTCGCGTCTCGATTTCGTAAATAACACCCCAGTCGCGAGAAGGCAGTGAGTAGGACTTCTGTGACAATGACTGTATACGCGTGGCCATGTGAGAGCATTTGGAGAGGGAGAGCTGACTCTCCTCACCCTCTGCTGTACCTGAGCGTATATTTACATATGTGAAACACGGACCAGGATTTTTGTTTATGTTTGTTATCTCTTTAGAGCTTAACTCCCATGATAAGTTCATTTATCTTCCTGACTTGTACGGTTTCACTCATAGAAATCGTGAATTAGAGAAAAAAATCCTTGTAGCTCAGGTAACGATATCGTCTAAAATGAAAATGAAAGCTTCACAGCTGAATAGTAGAATCCGGGGAACACATGTTCATTGTGATGAAAATGTATTTAACTTAATTCTATGAGCTTTGTTTACTATAGAAGGAAAAACCCGCTAAGAAATGCATTTATCGAAGTACAGTACAAACGACAGAGTTGACTTTTTGACAACGCAAGTTTTTGTATCTTACTTTTAGCATTAATCCTACCGTTTACAACAGAATTATGGTTGTTTTCCTATTTTAGTAGGATCTTTTTAGGTGGTCAGCGAAATGTTTTCAAAATGGTGAATTTGCTCAGTTCACATATCAGTTATGATCATTCATCGTATAATTCTAAATTATTATTGTTTTTCACGCTTTTTAAATACATTTTAGTTGGAAAATACTGAGATAACATTTGATTTACGATTGGGCTATCGTAATCATGATGACCCTAAACATGTTTGGCACGAATTAGCTCGTTCAGTTGAAGTTCGACCGCTTAAATGTACTCTTGACCGCGAAGCTAAGCGACACCAAGGACATGCTCATGCGCTTGATGAAGGATTTTACTACGATTGTGAGGTTTTACCTTTGTTCACCTTAGCTAGTTGTCATCATGAAGAATACTTGTTAAACTTGAGAATTCCTGTCGATGAGAAGCGGAAAATTAACGTTGGTGTTGGAAGTATTCAGGATGTGTGGATGGTTGAAATTCATCAAAATGGTGGATTTACTAAGGTAAATAAGTTAGCCTTTTCTTTGTGGCTACTGTTTGCGTACAACATAGTCGTTCTTGGTATCTTAAAGTGAACTAATTAGGTTTTGTGAATCTGACTTGGCTTTTTTTAAATCTCTAGCAGACAGTTAACTTTGGCTAAATTGGAATAAAATTTAAAGATATGGGTACTATATGATAATCTAACTTTGTATTTATGTCATCACCAACATAGAGCCTGACACAGATGTGTGTTGGCCCAGGTCGTCATACCACATAAGGACGACGAGACAAATAGAAAAAATGCGTGTAATGTGATAGAAATTATACTAAGAATGTGGTTCGGAAAGACAGTTGGAAAATATAAATGGAGGAATACTAGAACGTAAGGTCAGGAGGAGGGTAGAGAATCCATCTGCCCATTATAATCAATTCTAGACCATGTCACCCAAATTCTCTAGTCGTATACTATACATATAGTTTAAACACAAATCTAAACCCAGCCCTATTTCGTTTTAACTAATGATCTATCTTCTACACAGTAGGCGTTATTCACAGCAGTTGTTCGAACACTTTCAACGTTGCTGAGTTTATTGCAACTTAGAAAATCGGAATGTTTTCCTGAACACTAACTTCTAATTCTTGTTACTCTACCTATACGTTTTTCTACCCATTCGTATCCTTTGCCATTTTATGGTTCTTTTGTGATTTATAGTCAGCACATTATTGTTGTTTCCGAAATGCTGTGCTTTGGATCCCAAACTTGATACTTGTGACCTGTAGTCAAACCTATTAATCTGATATGTATTATGATAAAAGTCGTAGTTCGAAATAATAAAATCTTGTTACATTGCAGTAAAAACTGGTGTATAAACGAAGAATATTGTTCAATAAATTCTCAGGTTTTATAGTTATGTATTGAAATTAACAATCTAAAAATGGCCAAGTTTAAGGTGAACACTTCATTTGAAATTATAGCTTGTAAACTTAGGATCGTTTGTTCAATATATGAAATTAGTAATCCTGATAAGTAAAAGATCAAATTCCTAGCCTCCCATGACTAGGGAATAAGTAGTTTTTAGAGTAAAGTAGTGCAAGAAACACAACGAAAGCATTTTGCGATTGCTTTTCCTACATATATTTCTCCAACAGTTATTTTACACTACAACGAATTTATTACCAAGCTGTACAATCATATATATAACTTTTTGTTAACGTACTAGTTTCGTGAGAAAATGTGACAGGGAATAACCAAGATGATTAAATAGAAAGATTATAATATTAGACTACTTAATACGAATAATAACAATCTACTTAATAAGTTAGTAACGAATTATAACGTGAATGTAGTAAGATGATTAAATTGTGTTTTTTTGTTACAAAAATTGAAGGTAATTAAAGGTCATAGAGGTGAAAAATATATAAAGTGATACCATGAGCAATTATCAATTCAATAATGAGGATGAAACATAAGTAAACGGATAAATGCAGTAATAATAATAAAGGCCAAGGTAACGATAGGACGTACTTCATTTGTACGCATAATTCTGGTTTGAGCTCATGGATGGCAGTGAAACATGGCCGGTAAGAGTAGAGGATATCCGTAGGTTACTAGTATTTGATCATAGGTGTCTTCGAAACATTGCTCGTATATCATGGGACCATCGAGTGAGTAACACAGTTGTTAGGAAACGGGTACTAGGTAAGAATGGCAAATCAATTGATGAAGTGGTGAAACTTCATCAGTTGAGATGGCTGGGACACGTGTTACGTATGCCCAACGACCGACTGCCTCGACGTGCTATGTTCAGTGGTATAGGAGTAGGTTGGAAGAAAGCTAGGGGCGGCCAAACCAAAACATGGCACAAATCCATGAAGTCACTGACAAGTGAACTGAGTCATGTTGGTAGGTGTAGACTACCTGGTTGGGGACCGCGAGATGATAGCAACCGATGGTTAGAGACCCTGAATGACATGGCTGAAAATCGTTTGCAATGGCGCAGGTGCATCCACTCTCTGTGTTCTCCCAAATTCTAATCTTCTGAATTCTTCATGTCCCTTTATTTTCCTCTTTCCAAATTTATTTCACTGGATTATACTCTATAAATAACATCTCCAAACCCTAATCTTCCCGATTACTGCTTATACTCTTGCTACCTGTACCACTACGGGATTTGAATCGACCACTGCATCTCTGTGCTAATGTGGTGTGGCAACTCGAACTGATGTACGTACGTACGAAGTTCTACGTTGTTACTGACTGACTGACTGACTGACTGACTGAGATTTGGACGAGTCGTATATACAACCTTAAAATCAAACTGTGGATCAGTAAAATGATTACGGTCGATTAGATGTTCAAGTGTGAAACTCCTAACTGCTTTCCTCTCACTCTTGTAGAACCACACTGGGACATGTTCCCGTATCTGAGTTGAAAGCGGGTGCTGGCTACGGCCAATGTACCTTGCTCCACAAGAGCAGGTGAACTGTTAGATGCACATTCAGGTGATCAGACGAGGAAGCTTATGTTTTATGGATACAGAAAACAAGTTCCTACTAGTGAACGTTATTCGCAGTTTTGCTGCATAGTGTTCTTTTTATCGCTGTCGTTAAACGATTTTTGATTAAATCAGATGTTCAATCACCTTTAAATTCCAAACTTATATAGAGGTTTTTCTTTGGAACGGAACAACCGGATTCCCTGTCACAACTACTTTTTTCATATTCTTATCTATGAAGCAGTCTAGATAGCCATTTGTACAGCTTTATAATAAATTCGTTGAAAAGAGATCCCTTCTCTGAACTTCGTGTTTTTAATGTTTAAATGGGAATTATCTGTCAACTGCACTTTGTTTGCTTTACTTTAATAATCGTAAAAAAGATTAAATTTATACAAATATTCGTCAATATTTGAACGATTAGTTTAACAGAAATATGATTCTCACGAATAAAAAAGATTTTTAAATCAACAACTAATAATGCCAGTTGGTCATATTCAACGTAGTACCTGGAAAATATGCATCCGTTCAAGTTACCACGTTATATTATGACACCAAGATGAGATTATTAATCCTGAACTCAGAGTAGTAAATGTGTCAATGGTGGCACAAAATTTTATCGATTGAAAGTGAAGCAGAAAGCATGAGACAATTTTGGGATCTAAGGGAAGACAAGGAGTAAGTGCATCTCAGCCATTCGATCCAATATCTCCAATCATTGTAACTTAAAATATACCTTTATAATCATCAGATAATAAGTAGATATGATGAACATCCTAAAATAATCTAATGTTTACCACATTCACTAACGAATGATGAGTTTATTTTCACTAAATCTTAGTTCGGTATACATAAAGTCAGTGAAGTAGGGATATATCGATACCCCTGGCTGTACATTATTTTTCAAAGATACAGAATATAACTGAGACTTGGTATCATTTGTTTAGTTTATACGATCGAGTCTTATCTAAATTGTGACCAGTTTACGGAAACGGTATTGTATTTTGAGATGCAGTAAGAATCCAGCTCAACTTTAGGAAGTGGGAAATTGTTTAAGAGGTCCAGGTAAATGATCTTTGGAGTTAACAGTGTCTAACTAAATTACATAATTGGACTGAACAATTGGTTAAGTCGTTGGAGGCAATCAAGCTAGTCTCGTATAAGAGGATTTAAATGAACACTTGTTTAATAATTTGACCCAGTGAACACAGCCTTGCATAAGAGTACTTAATAAAATCGCCTTAAGAAGTGAATATGATTTCAGTCCAAATGATTTTCTTAACGAATGGTTACCCAAATATTCCTTAAAGTCATGAGATAATTGTGCTATCTGATATATTTGTGTGGCTGCATTGGAGGACCGTTAATATGTACGGTAATAAATTTCCTATTTCAATCTACCCTCATCTGATGTGTGGATAACAAACTCAGTGTAGTTTGTAGCTTTATAAAAACTTTTTCTTGTATATCCTCAATTGTAGGTATGGTTTTCGTTGAAAACATTTTCATTCCCAATTGTATTACTGGCTTTAATATTTTTTGGTCATCGTGTCAGGGAGTTAGAACGTCCACCAAACATACTAGAAAAAACTATATTTATCTTGGGAATTTGTTTATCTATCTTGAATTGTCCAGTTGAGTGGTTATCACTTATGTAAGTCTACCTATGTTTCTTAGATTCACTAGGATATATATATATATATATAATTATTATTAATAACTAAATCATTATCAAAAACTGGAAATGGGGATCGATCTTGAAAAATAATATTTGATTTATGTCTTCAGATCTAAACTAAAAGACATTGCCGTCCGTACATGGTGGTTTCAAAAGCCCTGGCACGACTGAGGGTGAGGAGAGTCAGCTCTCACATGGCCATGCGTATACAGTCACTGTCACAGAAGTCCTACTCACTGCCTTCTCGCAACTGGGGTGTTAATTACGAAATTGAGAGGACGAAAAGCGAATGTTCGCCGCTTTAACTGATTTAGTGGATATAAAGCACCCACCTTGGGGAGTTAGAAAATTCTGGAGCAACGTCCGGAGACTCGTTCCCATGGTAGCCAGCGACCAACAATACGTTCATATACCATTTGCTCCCCAAGGGTCCTGTAGCTCATATTCACCTTCCGTTTTGAATCACAACTTTCCAAATCCTAGACGGATCCTCCATATCCACCAACTCAGTTGAAGCGCCGAACATTCGCTTCTCATCCTTTCAATTTCGTAGATAACACTCCAGTCGCGAGAAGGCTGTGAGTGGGACTTCTGTGACAATGACTGTATACGCGTGGCCATGTGAGAACATTTGGAGGGGGAGAGCTGACTCTCCTCATCCTTGGCCCGTAACAGGGCATTTCGGGTGCCAGATCCATATTAGGGCAACTTGTTTATGTATTGTAGGCAAACGAAAATTTGTTTATCGAATATTTATTCGTGAAATCAAACAATTCTCATTGCAATGGTATCATCAATTATCTCCTAACTCTCACAAACTGGTTAATTTGGAAATACCAATTGTTAAAATTACACTCAATGCTTTTATGGTTACAAAATGTAATCGTTTTATTGAACTGTTTCTGAGCACCTAGGATAATTCAAAGTCATGAGTGCCCGTAAGTATGACGCTTGCAAAATATGATTGACAAACTTTATTGTTTGCTGATGTCTTTTTTGTGTCTAGTTGATATTATCCTACTGTGATAATAATCCTCTCTGTATATATTGACGAGTTATTTATTTGTCAGCTGAACGCGAACTATATTTCACGTTTCTATAAACTAACTTATGAATACCGGAAAATTATTTTGCCTATTAACACTGACGATTAAAGATGTATCTATCTGTCTGTTATAGTTCCTCTTATTACGACCCTGCTGCTCATATTCGACGAGTCCTCAAATCAGAACACGGTTAAACAGGAACAAAATTATATTCCAAATTACAAGGGTAGATGGAAGTAGGAATCGTAATAAGAAAGACGTTAGTACAGTTTCATACACGAGAAGATTCTAGAGTCTTCCCCGAGTATCCACTGGTGCTGATTGATTAAGAAATCGTCAATCAGCGTGCCCCAACATAATCCTGCACGGAGCGTGCTTTAATCCAATCTGTGTCCCGTTAACACTATCATTAGGATTTTTTCATTAGTTAAAATATTGGGAATTTTCGATAGACTTTGAAATTCTTAAATATCCTCAACTATTAGTCACAATTGTGTTGTGAACTCTAACCGGATAGTCTATTCACCTACCTACATTGTTCGGACCGATAGTAATCGTTCAATAAATAACTATGTTACCGTTTGTTTACTTTTATATTTTGTCCAAACTCCTGTTTCTACATCAGATAGTTGGTATTGTGCATCTATTGGTGTTAAGTATTAGTACCTAATATATATTGAACTGTACTAATTAATTGTGTCTTACTGTTAACAAATCTTACGATTTTGTTCAAATGTTCTCATACAATCCTTTTCTTTCCCCATTCAGATATAACTTCTCATTTTGGCTTGTCTTAAGTGATATACGTCAAGGTTTATTTTATGCTACGCTTGTTTGCTTTTGGCTTGTTTTCACTGGTGAGCACATGATGCAAGACTCATCATCGGGGAATCGATCAAAGCCTAATAATAATTGTTATGGTCTAAATGGATTGTATTGGCCAAGAATTTTACTTGTGGCCAGTTGTTGTGCTGCTTTATTTATTTTTGAATTAGCTGAACGTGGAGTACAAATACGTAATCCATTTTACAGGTAATTATCAATATGAGGGGTTGTGCAGACTGTTGAATGTTATCGAGATCATGTACAAATCTAAGCTAGAAAACCACTAAAAAATTGAGAGCACTGGACTACTTCACTCAGTCCACGATCTGGCGCGTAATGCCTCAAATCAGTTGAAGTTAGACGTGCATACCATTGGATTACGGCCAAGTTGTTTAAGCGTTCGCTAACGAGACTATGGGTCCCGGGTCCATTATCCGCTGGTGGATGCGCGTCCTTAAACAGTTCCATACTAGAACTTGACAGATGTCCATTGCTTTCAGGTTTCCAATTGTTATCTAACTTAGATTGATTCGCGATTTCAATTACAAGTAGTTCGTAGCTAATCTAATGTTTATTAAAATGTCCTCAGTGTCAATGTTTGATAAGGATCAACCATTAAAAGGTAGAGATCAACAAATGACAAACAAAATTGTAATCAAAGTTCTGTCGTATCTGCCACCTTAATGCAGTGTCGGAATTGCCTACTTCAGTGACCTAATCGACCTACATTGGTTTAAATAACTGTTCTACCATGTCAAGCAGGTTGGCTAGAGTGATGTGTAAATAAAAGTAATATATTGGACGTTCAATGGTCAAGTTGTTGTGCGTTGTGGTTGTGTTAGTCATATGTTTATTCATATACATTTGAATCACGAATAGATCGATTACAGGGTTTCATTTGAATAATCTCTCTCGGTTTGTCAACCATTCAGGTCATAGTTCAATGATAGGATAGTTTCGTTTCTCTCTGCTCTCAAGGCTATTTAGCTACTAGTCGAATTCACGCGTTACAAGTCTCAAGGTTGTACTAGCATATCAAGAGAGTAAAGTAGTTCAAGACAATACACCCCCCTGCATATTAAACGAACTGGTAGGTGGACAAGTCAAGGTCATAATAGTATCCATGTCTGAAAAAAGACAGTGAAGCTACTACAATCGGTTACTCGTGATATTACTTTAGCCCTAAAGTGATATCCGAAAAGTTTGTTTCAAGATGCTGGATCAAGTGGCATTGTAGAACTCTAGATCATTTCAACGGAATGCTTGGTGGCGTTAGAGATAACGATCCGACAATTCACCATTCAATTTTTGTAAATTCTAATTAGCTTGTATTACTTTTCATATTTTCTCAAACAAATGTTTTCGATCTTGGTTTTAAGATCTTATACGCATAAGTTGAACATTGTGTTGGATAGAATCCCCTACATTTTAAGTAAAAAGCGTGGTTTGACACAAACGCTGGAAATTATATTTGTTGAGACAGATAATCGTTTGAATCGTGTATATAATAAATGTTTTAAGTCATCCAAATTTAACGTAACTAGGTTTGTAATAGTTATTTTACTGGGTATATGAATGGTTTATGTATGAGATTTACATTGTCATAACAATGTTATCTCTTTGTGTTAACGGGGTATGACAACTTGAACTGATGTACATAGGTACCGGGTTTTGCGATACGACTGATTGACTAATACTATGACTAAGTAATTCACTCTGTAGCATGACTTTGAAAATGTGACTTCTTGAGAAAGTTTATTCATATTGGTTAGATATATTAAGCCTTTATTTTTTGTTGAATACAATAATGTTTAACAGTACATGTAGTACTTTCAGTCATTTATATTTCCTTACACTTACTACTTATCTACTTACTTACTTACGCCTGTTACTCCTCGTGAAGGAGCATAGGCCGCTCACCAGCATTCTCCATCCAATCCTGTCCTGGGCAATCCTTTCTAGATCCGTCCAGTTGTAATTCATCCTTTTCATATCTGCTCCTATTATCCGACGCAATGTGTTCTTTGGCCTTCCTCTTTTCCGCCTTCCTTCAGGATTCCAAGTTAGGGCTTGTCTTGTGATGCAGTTTGACGATTTGCGTAGTGTTTATCCTATCCATTTCCATCGTCTTTTCCTAATTTTCTCTTCAGCTGGAAGCTGGTTTGTTCTCTCCCACAAAAGGCTGTTGCTGATGGTATCCGGCCAATGGATGTTGAGTATCTTGCGTAGACAGCTATTTATAAATACTTGTACCTTCTTGATGATGGTTGTTGTAATTCTCCAAGTTTCAGCTGCGTACAGTAGAACTGCCTTGACATTCGTATTGAAGATTCTCACTTTGATATTGGTTGAAAGTTGTTTTGAGTTCCATATGTTCTTCAACTGTAGGAATGCTATCCTTGCTTTGCTAATCCTCGCCTTTACGTCTGCATCTGGACCTCCTTGTTCATCGATTATGCTTTCCAGGTATGTGAAGGATCCTACCTCTTCCAGAGTTTCGCCATTAAGAGTGATTGGCTTGCTGTTCTCCGGTTTGAATTTGAGGACCATGGTTTTCCCCTTGTGTATGCTGAGGCCTACTGATGCGGAGACTGTTGCTACATTGGCTGTCTTTGTCTGCATTTGTTCGTGTATATGTGATAGGAGGTCCAGGTCATCTGCGAAGTCTAAATCGTCTAACTGGTTCTGAGCTGTCCATTGTATGCCGTATTTTCCCTCAGATGTTGAGGTCTTCATAATGCAGTCGACCACCAGAAGAAAGAGGAAGGGAGATCCTTACAGTTAGAAAACACTTTTAAAAATGAATTATATGGATGTTTAACTTCGATGTAATCGAAAGCACATACGTTTATCGCTTTCAAATTCTTCAGGATTATTTGAGAGGTATTTGCAACTTAGATCTTCTTTGACACACGTCAAAGTTCCATGAGCCGAATCTTTATATAGTTTGTATAACAATTAACGCATCTGATTACTTTCAACTACCTAACATTTTCAAACAACTATGGTAAACGATAGTATCAGGGATTAATATTAATAAACTCGACCATATGTGTGAAATCTACTCAAATTAGACTTACGTTTAGAATATAAGCAACGCATTCACACAAGAAAACTGCGCAGAAATACGAAATTATATTATGTGTAATAGAATAAACCGGAAATATCAAAATATTGGTAGTTGTTATTCGGTACAACACATAGACTACAGAAATTGCCGGATATTGTTCAAGCTACTGATGATTAGTAAGTAGTATATCGTGACACACGAGCGACAACAGATTTATGAATTATGTACGTTACAGAATTATTTTTATATTCTATTCAACGTTAATGATTATCAAATAAAAGCTTTATATATGTCAAATTGATGTAACTGAAAATCCAGTCAAAAGTTTGCAGTTGGACTTGACAGATAAGAGTTTATTAAACCCAGTGACTTTTTAAAATGAAAACATTATTGCATGTAACGAATTACTCATCAATTATGAAATCATATTGAAAGCGCGCAATCTAAAGATGTATCTGTAGCTCTTTAATATATATGATATGTCTGAAAATTTATACACACTCTTGTCTTTATCCACCCAGATATTATGATTAATTACATTAATGTGTTTCTATCTCATTTATCGTTTCCCAGTATATGGTCTCATCCAATTGCTGCGAAAATGGGTTTAACAAGTATTGTAATCGGTGCTTTGTGTGCATTTGCTTACATGATCTATTTAACTATATTAGTTGTTAAAGCATTCATACAAATATTGGGTAAACGTCGTCTGTTAAACAATCTTCCAGCGGAACAACGTCGATATTACAGTGGTATTATATATCGTTTCATGGTACTTCTAACTTATACAATAATATGCGCTGGACTTACTGTTGCATTCTTTATCTTTAGTCAGGTAAAAAAGAATCATTTTCGTGGGATTTCCTCTATTTTTTTGAGGTTATCGTTTTTACTTCTGAGTTTCGTAAATTTATTTGATAGGTAGGTACTGGTTGACATGGTTATCATTTTTTTGGTGACTCGTTTTTGCATCTTGGATGAGATTTGTTTCTTTCTTTTTAAAGATAGTTTACATCAAGAGCTGATTTAGATTTGATAATCATTGAGAAATAGGATCATTAAATGGATAGCTGTCTTTATGAAAACTTTCGTTTTAATTTGGATTTACTTAAAATTTACTCGCTGGGATTTTACAAATATATATGTATATATGACCTCGCAGCTAATACGTTATCTGTGAGCTATTAAATTAACACCTACTGGTTTGTATTGTCCACCTACATGAATTTACGACATTACCAGACTATTATCCAACATCAACGGTAATACCTACACACTACCATACTAGAGAAAGTGTGAAAAAAGAAGGGTGGTTACCTTTGTATTATGATCTACAATCTGATTCATATACTCAGCACACATTCCTAAAGTTTAATTCGAAAAAAGCCTACTTTATGCAAAGAGAGAAGATAAAGTCTACTAAATACTTGCATATTGCACTTATCCTTGTATAGAGGTGGTTGAACTAACCAGAATATGGACATAAATGGTATTCTTAAGTAATTATACACTTATTTAAGATGGCTCTCCTATACTTCCATATCATCATCTCACCATGTGATATGTGTATTTCTCCCTTCAGTATATTATTGTTCTTTAGTTCACTAAGGTTTATTAGTTCAAACTTACTATTTGTTGATCAATACTAGGTTTTCTCACTATCTTTTTCTCTGTCAGTATTTTCACCTTACATTGCTAATAGTATAAATGCTGATCATTCTAGTTGTATTCAAACAATTGTAGGTGTTGAAATCAATCACTCTTTTTATATTTTATATCCCTATCTTGCTACTTTGGGGATGACACTTGTATGTATACGCAGTTATTTTACTAAACATTCTAAAATATTTCTCTTTATCACTTTAGTTAATGTAGATTGTATACATCAAACTTAGTTGGACGGGAATTAAAACAAAATTAATGTTTATTTCCCTTTGGATTTGAATTGTTCTCGAAATAATGTCAGTTTTTTATGATACTTCATTGTTATTTATGTGAATAGTGCACTACATATGCAAAACCATTACCTACCTCAATTTTCGGTGTTGGCTGGATTATAAACGTTTAAGCTTGAAGGAACATGTAGGTGAAAAATTATGGACATAGTATTAGTCTATCAATATATTGTTAGACCGAGTCATCTTCGTAAATGCAGACTACTTAGTTTGAGTCCAGGAGATAGTTATAACCAATGGATTGGTGATGCTGAATGATATGACTAAGAATCGATCACACTTGCATAGATGCATTTATTTCTTATCTTTCCATAGATAATGAGTTTCAGTATTCCTTCATACTGAACTATTTTCTGCAATATTTAGTCTTTTCCACTGTCACTGATGTTACTACTTTATTTTGACCTGTTTACTATTCATCCTGCTAGTTTTATCTGTTTGTGTCAATTTGGTATGATAATTCGAACTAACTTACATTTGTCTCAAGCTTTACTTTGATTATATCTCACTATATGAATCATGTTTGTTTATGACGTATTTTCTTCTTTGTTCTCTCTTTTATAGGTTACAGAAGATCAATGGAAATGGGGTGAAAAAAGTGTGGAATACACTTCAGCTTTTATAACCGGTGTTTATGGTATGTGGAATGTATACGTTGTAGCCGTATTGTGTTTGTATTCACCATCACATAAATTTCGTAGTGTCACTGGTCAACAATTATACAATCGATTATTAATTAAGAATTCTGTAACAACAACAATACTACCTGATACCACTACTAGTAATACCACTGCTTCTACTGTTGCTACAATGCATGATACATTTTTAGGTCATGAATTCAATATGTTTGATAAACAATCAGAAACAATTCAATTAGTACCGAAACAATCAATTGATTACAAAGAGAATTCAACATCTACATCTACATCTTTATCAAATGTTGAAACAAAATCTTATCTCTTAACAGAAGGTTTGAAATTTATCCGTAAAGAAGCATTTGAATAAATTCACATGAAATGATTTCCAAGAAGAAGAAGAAGAACTACTACTACCATCGATGTTCATCATTGTCTTCACTTCATTTTATTGCATCCGGTAGGTTTATTCTCTCGGTTTTAACACAAATTAATATTTTATTGATATACAATATACAAATTTGTTTCACCATCCTTATATATCCATATACTTTATAAACAGTAATTGCATATATATAACATACTATACCAAAGGTGCTTTATTATTATTGTTATTATTATTATTATTATTATTATTATTATTATTATTATTATTATAAATACTCCTTTGCATTTGCATTTCTTTCAAGCATTTCACATTTTATATGTGTGCATCTATTCATTAGTTCGATCTCACTTGTTTCTTTTTTTCTATATATAATACGAAATTACTTATTAGTAGTTTAGTGTATTTATACCAAAAATACGTCACTGATGTTCTTGTTGTTGTTATATTGTTATTATTTACATTTATTACATATTCCTTCCGGTGTGTTAGTATGAAATGACCATTATGTGCCTCTGCTTTTCTTTTTTCTTTCTTTTTTTGAAAATATTTTGTTTAAATGGACTGAAATAAATCAGGCATTTTCTATATATAATTTATACTTTAATTGATAAGTGAAATTTCATCGTTTGTTTCTTTCCTTATTCTGTTTGTTTTTGAAGCTTATTTGTTGAAGTAATTAGTTTTTGTTCATCAATAAATTGTAAGTTCAAAGTCTCTTGGTCCCTACTTCAGTTCTTTTTTTTTCTTAAGAGTAGAGGATAGAAAGATTAGTGTCAAACTATCTCTGACATAAACAGTGCGGTTCAAAGCTAAGTATATGAATTTGCGGGGAGCCGTGACCAGGGGAGCTAATTCGTGTCGGGTAGAGACGGTTATCTACCTCAATACAATGGAAGATGGTCGCACAATTTCGTGGATTGGTTGAATTTAGACATTAACACCGTTGGATGCCGGCTCAGTGGACTAGAAGTTAATCGTTCGTGCGTAAACCTGAAGGACCTGGGTTCGAATCTCACGGGTGGGATAGTGGATGCGCACTGCTGAATTGTCCCATAATAGGACGAGACGGCTGTCCAGTGCTTCCGGGTTTTCAATGGTGGTCTAACATCAGTCGGTTTATGGTACCAATCAAAAACATAAATTTATATTTAGCAAGTAGATTACATAAGTCGATTAGATTTCATGCATTGTTATCTTAACATAGTCGATGTATATGAAAAGATTATAACTGTTCACATCTGAGAGCAAATAATACTACACCAGATTTTATTTGCTGTGGTGGGGTTATTATTAACACGTTCACGTTTCAGAAAAATTAATCTTATCATGAACAAATTCACCTTATATCATTATTTAGGCGATTCAGGTGTTTCCCCAGGAAAATGTTCAATCTCATGACATTCGAAAGAACTATAAGTTTTTCTTGGACTACTCTATTTTTTACGAAGCGAAGTAGTTTGCACAGTTGTTTATAAGAACTTTCTGACGATAGAATCCAAACCTCCATAGGGAACAGGTACCTCACAATAACCTGTTTTCCAGCTGTCGTGATCTATTTTGTGATCTGTAACTTTCAATCAACAGTAAACGTATGATAACTTATTCGCTCTATTTATTTACACTATACAAATAAGTTGAGAATCTTGTTTGTATGCCTGTTTAAAACAGAGAGAATGTTTCCAGTTTTTAGATTATTTCATGGTAATCTGAATTGCGTGTTCACAGAAGAATCACTGCTATGTATCTTCCGTGAGTCTCATGACGACATTTTTTTGTTATAAAGTAAAATTATTTCATTGCTAAGCAGTTCAATAAATACTCAACTTCTACTATTGTTCTTTTTAGTATTAATAAAATAAGCAACGTAAGATGCATAACCAAGAACTGGTGCTTCATGCTATTCACATACCTAGTTCTAATCTACGAGATCACATCATTTCCCGCTGTTAAACAAACGAATCCCCTTTTTCTTATTGGTATTATCTCTATCCGCAAACAATTTAGTGGGAATGTAATAATAATGGAATTACAGTGAGTTTTGAACTACAGGTGAAAAATAGCTGTAATAAAGGTCAAGGAGAGAATATTACAGGAACTGCATGGCTTCAACATGCAGGCGTAGTCACTGTAAATATTTTTATATTAAGTATGTTATTCTATCAGTCAGAGTGAATGCATCCATTAAAGGATGATGACTAGCAGGACAATGAAGTGACTTCAACTTCATATCATATAGGTTAGGTAGTCACATCATAGTGAGTCAAATATGGTATATTAGGTCCACTGATTTAGTACCATAGACAAGTGAACTAATACTGACACGACTTAAATCTCATAGCTACATATAACTGAATACTCATTTCAGTATTGTCTATATCTAACCAACACGGCCATCCATAACATCTTAAAACTGAAACAATTGGGTAAAAGAATGGCTAATCATATAAAAATAAGCAGTCAATAAAACAAAAACAAAGAAGTAGATGGTTTTTGGAAATATGTTTGGACGAAGAAATTCTTTTTAATAGCTTTGATGGAGTCTATTTTGTTACAGAATTTTCTGCATTTCTATATTACAGTAGAATCGTGCCCAATCCCTTCTCTAGTTCATCAAATGTTGAAGCAGCAGTCGAATTAATTGCAGTTTTTATTGTTGTGGCAAAAGTTTCTGCCTGATCATTAGAACAAGGGTGCCTGGGAGCAGTGAACAGATGCATGCACCCTATACCATTCATCCAGGTAGGAACTGTGTCTACAGCGAAATTCGGGATCTTATAATTCAACCCCCCCTCCGACCAAACACTTGTCAAAATGCTTGGATTTTGAAGTCAGAATTCGGTGAAGTTGTGAAGACAATTCAGGCCACTTGGGAAAGGGATCGACGATAAAAAGTGCATAGTATTAAACAAGAGATGGGTCATAATAATATGGATGAGTTCTCTGCCAGGCAACAGTCGATACTGGCTATGGAGTCCACTTCGGATGATGGTCTTTTGACTTATAGCTGGATCACCCTGTACTTGATTTGTTATAGGCTGAATTCTAATCCCTCCACTTTAATTAACATACACAACTATCAAACCTTTAAATGAAGCATCAGAATCTTCTTTAGAAATTAATAAAACAACTCAAATTTGAGCATTTTCAGATTTTTTAAACTCAGTATTAACAGACCTGTTTCACTAACTAAAAACTCACAAGACATATATGAAGAATTATCATCTCTTATTAGCAATTCAAAACATCCTCGTATGGGTCGATCGTGTCCAGTAATCCTCAATACTGAGACTTCAGTGGGTAGTCTCGCCTGTAAACTTTGACACGATCTCGGTATTTTTACGATACCACGAGATCGCCAACAAGTATATCCTAACTACAATCTACACCTATCCTTCTGATATTTATCCTACGGAGGGATTTAACCTGATAATTGGCATGAAATAGAACTGTAGTGGTAATCATAGTCAACTGCGGTTTGGCAATACCACTAAATAATGAAATGACTTACTTACGCCTGTTCCTCCCAGTAGAGCATAGGCCGCCGACCAGCATCCTCCAACCCACTCTGTCACGGGCCTTCCTTTCTAGTTCCACCCAATCGCTGTTAATTCTTCTCATGTCTGTCTCCATTTCTCGGCGTGATGTGTTCTTTGGTCTTCCTCTTCTCTGGCCTTTCGGATCCTAAGTGAGAGATTGCCTTGAGTGCTTTCCGCAATGTGTGTCCTATCCACTTGCAGAGTTCCTTCCTGATTTCTTCCTCCATTGGAATCTGGTTTGTTCTCTCCCACTGTAGGTTGTTACTGATAGTATCTGGCCAACGGATCTGAAGTACTTTGCGTAGACAACTGTTAACAAATACTTGTATCTTCTTGATGATGGTATTACTAGTTCTCCAAGTTTCCGCTCCGCACCTACTTTGAAGTTCTTTGTTGATTCAGTTTTCATTTTCTCACGATAATAGAAACCATTATTAGACAAACGCGAGCTTGAGAGACATCGAGAATATATTTCATCACGACAGCTGAGCAAAATATTAGAAATTTCCATTGAGTGGAAATCAAGTTCATTCACCGACTCATTGTTAATACATGCTGTTTTAATCTCTTGTAGTGAGTTTTCGGGTTTCTGAATTGATTATTTTTCTAAATTTGCAATCCGCTCTAGAATTTCAGTTTGTAATTGGTCTCAAAAATTCCAGTTCATGGCCTTTTTCTATAATCGAAATATAAAGTCACTAAGTTTCTGATCATTTTGTTAAACGTTGATCTCTCTCTGCATTAAAATCTAGCAAACTGCACATGACTAAGTAGAACTGAATTAAAAGATTCATAAGTAAATGGAAATGGTTTTCCTAGAGAAGTTAGATTCCTTACCAGGTTACAAGCTTCTTTCAGGATGAACGATATGATGTTAGCTGTAAATCTGGCATCTTTGAATTTGTTCTAGTTTCGCACCAGATTTCGAACTCCTACAAGTAGTCTTCAAAATCATCCTCACTTGAATTAACATTCAACTGTTCGAGATCTGAGTCTATCTCGAATTCAATATGATAGTTAGAAATGTTAGAATTAATGTACTAACTCAAAAATTTCGGAACAATGCTATCTAACTCAGGTAGAACTAGCTGAGCACACATGAACGTCTTGTATTTAGGATTAACATTCAGCGCACAATCAAGTTCAGTGGAATCATCGGCTAGTGCGGAATACTCAGTCGACAAGTTAATTCAACTACCTCTATGTATCATATTTTTCTGTTTTATTCCAGGCATATAGTGACATGCACATTCAACTTTTTCAACCAACAAATGTAAAGACCACAATTGTTTTCTATATTTGTTAAACTTTATGCGTGTACGAGTTATAAGGGAAGATAATTGATTGACTGATTGGTACTCGCACCACTGCTGTTATTCGAATAAACTCTATCTTCGCTGTCTAGCCCTTTGCTACATTGGTTATAACTTGTGATTTAAGATTGAAGTGGTGTATTAATTTCCATATGGTCCGTTCTACACCATGTGAGACGTTTTGCTAGGATTAATACTCGATAACGTTATAGGATTTGTATTTCACAACACAAACATTTTGGCATTGATTTTCCTGTTATTAGTGACTTCGCATATTATTCGCGTATTCATCTGGATATAAGGTCATTAACTAGGGTAGCGACACAGCGGAATTACGAGTTCGAAACCAGATAAACGTGCCACCATTCAGTAGACTAAACACACATAGTTGGTTTCTG